GCCCACCCCAAGGGATGTTCTAAACAAGTGACTTCCAAGTCAAACCACACCACATAAATCCTGTCATCCAAATTATACCAATATTTCAAGCATAAGAAAATGTGCAATGAAGCGAATAAAATCAGAAGAGTCATTGAACTTCATTAACTTTTGAGCAAACTTTGCAATTTACATTTTTGTTCGAATTTTCCAGCTTTCCTAAAAAAAGAAAAAATTTTCACACATAATATTTTTTCAAATTAGCTATGTTCCATGATCTGGCAAGTGATCGGCCTTCAGCATCCTTCAGCGAGTACGCTCCTCCTGCGTGCACTCGCTCGACCAGGTATGGCCCTTCCCAGTTCGGCTCCAGCTTTCCCACATGTTTGAGCACATCGACGCGTTTCCAAACCAGGTCAACTACTTGGAGCCTGCGAATCTTTACCTTTTTGTCATGAGCGGCTCACATCCTCTGTTTGTACGCCTCCACCCTGATTGCTGCTCTTCCACGTAGCTCCTCAATAGTGTCCAGGGCTGCCATCATTAGATCCTCGTTCTGCTCAGCATTATATGTGCTCGACCTCTGTGATGATAGCTCGACCTCGACCGGCAGTAATGCTTCCATTCCATAAGCTAAACTAAAAGGAGTTTCTCCTGTTGTCGACCTCGGGGTTGTGCGATACGCCCAGAGTACCGAGCTCAACTCATCGACCCATGCTCCCGAGGCCTTTTCCAGCTTAGTTTTCAACCCATTCAGTATAATTCGGTTGGTTACTTCGACCTGGCCATTGGCTTGCGGATGAGCAACGGAGGCAAAGTGTTGCTCGATTTTTATGTCTTCGCACCATGCTCGAATCCGCTTGCCATTGAACTGAGTACCATTGTCGGAAATCAACACTTTGGGCACGCCAAATCGGCAGCAAATGTTGTTGTATAGGAATTTAATTACTTTCTCCTACGTGATCTTTGCAAAGGGCTCGGCCTCCACCCACTTTGTGAATTAGTCGACCGCCACTATCAAGAACTTCCTCTGCCCCGTTCCTTGAGGCATCGGCCCCACCAGATCGATACCCTATTGGGCGAATGGTATAGGGGCACTCATCGTCGTCTTCGCTTCTGCCGGTTGGTGAATAAGGGGGCCATGCTTTTGGCATTGCAAGCATTTCTTCACCATCACCTTCGCATCCTCCCTCATCGTGGGCCAGAAATATCTTGCCCTCAAAATCTTTGTGACCAAGGCCCCTGACTTACTGTGATCACTGCAGCATCTTTCGTGCATCTCTCTCAGTACATATCGACCTTCCTCCTTAGTAACACAACGCAAATGCGGTCCCGCATACGACCGTTTGTAAAGAATGCCTCCATGTTCAAAAAATCTCCTCATCGCCTTTATCTATCCCCCTTTCAGCTCCTCCAGGATCAGGGCCCTCCAATCCTCCACTTCCTCAATCTCCGCCACTTCCGCTTCGACCGCACTCTTTTCGAGATACAATAAGGTGACACTTCTGCTCTTACAATCCACCAAGCTTTGAGCAATTTTCGATA